GGTCGGGTTTCAGCGCTCCCCTGGGCTGAGGTCTCTGCCATGGGACAGGGGGCCATATCCTCTTGGGTACACTTCACAGTTGTTTGCAATCCAGAGGATATCGTCCTCATGAATGTTCACCTTCTGTCATATCCATACTCGGCCATTGACTTCCACTACCTCCAAACTCTCTGGACTACCTCCACTCCTTCCTCACTAACCTTGGAGCTCCCATATTCCGCAACCACCTCCGCTTCTCTTCAATGGTCACCACCCCCTCTTTTCAATATATTACCTACGCCTCCCTAAGTATGGAGCCCTGAAGGTTTCCGGACAGCTCCGACGTCCGCTAGCACACTCCCACCTCCGCTGGGCAATTCACTCACTTGCCCTGCAAGCCCACCTTCAGGCCTATCCCTCCTTTCTGTTTCTGGGTTATCACCTGCCATTCCACTAACCCTGTAACCTGACTTGTCGGTAATATTCAATCGGCTAATGTTAGCTCCACTCTGCTCAGCCCCGCCATTTACGGGCCAGCCCTCGTTGTAACTATATATACTCAACTTGTACATAGGTTACACCTCAGTAATAAAATCGACTAGAGTTTACCCCCTTTTAGTTCTGGTTGCCAGTTAGTAAGTTAGGTGTAGGCGGGATAATCGCCCACGCACAGACTCGGCTCGGATACCCGTTTTCACGACTATAAAACCACTTCCATCCATGCGATGACTCAGTACGGATTTGACATCTAAAAATAGTGCTAATTCGTACGATCCCATCGATACCAAGAACGTCCTAATCGGTGGAGATTTGATGGAGTTCCGTGTTGGAGAAGTTAGGCACAGCAGGTCACGAGTATGTGTGGGTGTGGGAATCTCAAGCGGCAACCCAGAATTCCAGCCTCACTCATTCCAACGGCATCTAATAAATCGGTAAAAAATGCTTATCGGCTGCGTAATAGTTCTATTCAGCTAAATTTCCAATTTCGGATCTTAATTCCGTAAATCCGTTGAGATATCGCTTATTTTCTCTTATTTTCATATTTCACCATCATTTCAGTTATTGATTGATATTCTTTTATTGATACTGTTACCCTTTTTTTATTATTCGACTAATAAGGTATGCAGGTGCCATATGGTACCAATATTTCCCATCAATTATTCTAAAAATAATTGTTCCTTATATCCTGTACATACCGGATTCTGGAATAGAAGTTCCCCCCTCCCCCAAAAATTCTCTAAGGTGCTAGGACACACTAGAGTGGGTGTGAGTGTGTGGAATTCCAACAGTAGGAATAAGGGCAACAATCTAGCCTGCAACGAGTGGGTAGTGGATTTGTTGAGCCCGGACCTTGCGGAAATCCCGGAGAACTCACCACGGAGTTAAGGATCGAGAGCATAGCGAGTCTAGAGAGAAAGTAGGAGTTTTGGAGAGTTTGGCCCCACAAGCTTAGTCAGCATAGAGAGCCACTAGCCCTCTTGCAACGTGTTACTTGGCACAGTGCTCCTGGCATAAGTCGCTGAGGCCAAAGCCCTCCACCACGGAGACCTTCCTTCGTCTCAATCTGGTTTCTGACACCTTCCCAAGGAAGACTCTGATTGGAGACTTGTTTTCTGATATTTTTTGGGAGATCATGTTTTTTATTATGTTGGTCTCGTTGAGGCCGACCCCAAAGCCACAGAGAGTTGCAGTGTAACTGGTTGGGCGGTATGAGAGGAGGTCAATGGAAATGAAGCAGACTGTATGGCTCAGCCACAGGTGGTTAGAGGTGAGGTTGCAGGAGTGTGATGGGTGAAGGCCCTCTACCATGAAGCCCCAGGGAGAACTGGTGTTATGGATATAGACTAGAATCTTATGGTCCATGGTTTCAAGTAGGTGGACCCAGGGCCTCCCCCCATTTTACTTCTCCATCAAACCCCATGCCAAGCTTTCCCACCGGGATTTGTTGAGTTTCAAGGGACTTCCCTTGACCATTATGACTTTTATATTAGATAGTTAGAAGTCATATGATGTGTAAGGCAGATGCTGAAAAATGTTTTTCCTTATCCAATACATAACCTACAACCCTGTTAGAGACCGGAAGTGAGATGAAGGAGTTGTCTCCATGGCGGAGGGCTTCGGCCTCAGCGACTCAGACCAGGAGCACTGTGCCAAGTTACACGTCCATGCCCTAATTTACTTACTGGCAGCGAGAACTAAAAGGGGGATTAACTCTAGTCGATTTTAAGTATATATAGTTACAGTAGGGCTCCTAGTGGATCGGATCAGTTCGGATCCGGATCAGAATCTGCGGATTTTTAGAGGTTTGAAACAAAAACCGTATCCGGCGGTTAGAAATCCGCGGATATGCGGATCAACTGCGGATTATAAATAATACGTTTCAAAATTATATTTCGTTAGAATAGCCCTGATGAGAGCTTTCTAACAATACCAAATATGTCCATATTGGTGGAGAACTGACAGAGATATGGGGAAAATGGCACAAAAGATGGGTGTCAGATGCCAAATTTGGAAATAACGGGCCTGGGTGGTTAGATAGGACTTGAAAAAATTGGGAGAAAATATGGAAATATAGGAAGGGTATCTAGGAAAGTGGGATATATTTAATTCACGGATAATCCGCCTATCTGCGGACTAGAAACTGCGGATATTATCCTCTCACAAGCCACAGTAGTAGGAGTTACAGTAAATATGGGGAATTTCACCCTTATTTGCCTCAGATCTCCTGCATATCTGCAAGCAATAAATCATGTGATAAAACTGCGGATAATCCGCAAATCCGTGGATTAAAAACCGCAGATATTTTCCTCTGAAAATCCAAAACCGGATCCGTGAATTTCCGGATGCGGTTGCGGATATCCGCAGATCATCCGATCCGCTAGGAGCCCTAAGTTACAGCGAGGCGGTCCCATGAATGGCGGGACTGAGCGGAGTGGAGCTAACAGAGTTAAACATTAGCTGACTGAATATTACTGACGAGTCGGGTTATGGGGTTAGCAGAATGGCAGGTGATAACCCAGAAATGGAAAGGAGGGATAGGCCCAAAGGTAGACTTGCAGGGCAAGCAAGTGAATTGCCCAGCAGGGGCAGGAGTGTGCCAGCAGACGTTGGAGCTGTCCGGAGGCCTTCAGGGCTCCATACTTAGGGAGGCGGAGTGTTAGGTACGGGTCAGGCGAATAGGGACGACTGGCAGGGACAAGGCTCCGGGGTTGGGCTTCGGCCTCAGCAACTCCAAGAGAGCGCTGTGCCCACCTACTGTCTCAGTGCCCACATTTCAAAGTGGCTTGGGCTGCCTTGTTAGGGGGGACAAACCATGTCGATATTCAGACTAAAGTTATAATAATGTAATATACATATATATATAGTAAGAAACTGAATGGGTCAGGTGACAAAATGAAACAAAAGGAAACAGAATAAGGGCCGGCATCTGGGTTAGAATGCATGGTCATGACACAGAGGTAATATATTGAAAAGAGGGGGTGGTGACCATCAAGGGAGTCGGAGGTGATTGCGGAATATGGGGGCTCTGAGGTTAGTGAAGAAGGAGCAGAGGTAGTCCAGAAGGATCGGAGGTAGGGGAAGATGATGGCTGTGGATGGATATGACAAACCCTTGTATTGCGATTGTATCTGTCACTCAACTTGCCATCACCTGTAACCCCACACCTGTAACCCTGGAACCATGTCCACTTCCCTATTCATCCTTTCCATGACAAAACTGCAGCAAGGAGGGCATTCTCATGCCCAACCTCCCACTGCCTGCTCCCACTAGTCCACCAGGTGGTTGAGCAGCCATTCCCATCCATCTAGCAGTTCCCCACCAGGAACTGTATCCCATCCCACCTCCTTAGGAGAGGAATATGGTCCAGGCAGCTCCAGGATGCCTGGCCACACACCAATGGGCCCAGTTTCCCATGGTTATCCATTCCCATGCACAGGTCCACCACTCCACAACACCCAGCAACCCATACTACTGGTACACTCATCTGAGCGCCAAGTTACTGATAGAAGACAGCCTGGCTCCCTCATGGAGCCCTTATCTAGGGCTCCTAGCGGATCGGATAACACTCGGATATCCGCAGATTTATCCAAAAATCCGTGGATGCGGATTTGGCTTTTGACAGGATAATATCCGTGGTTTCTAATCCGCGGATCTATTGTCGCTACTGTTCTAGATACCCCTCCTATGTTTCTATATTTTCTTCCAATTTTTCAAGTCTTATTTGACCACCCAGGCCTGTTATTCCCAAATTAGGCATTTGACCTCCAAGTTTTCCACCATTCTCCCCATATTTCCATCAGTTCTCCACCAATATGGACAAATTTGGGATTGTTAGAAAGCTCTCGTCAAGGACAATTCTCACGAAATGCAACTTTGGAACATTTCATCTACAATCTGCAGTTGATCTGCATATCCATGGATTTCTAACCACCAGATACGGATTTTATTTCAAACCTCTAAAAATCTGCGGATTCTGATCCCGATCCGCTAGGAGCCATACCCTTATCACACCCACTACCAGTATGCTCTTGGGAGTGCCAAGTCACTGCTAGCCAAATGCCAGGTGGCTCCCCCAAGGAGCCTCAATCTCATTCACTGCCAGTACGCTCCATAGAGTGCCAAGTAACTGTCAACCAACCCATGGGCCATCCCCTCAGGGACCTTCAACTGCGGAATGCTCTTTGAGTGCCAAGTCCCCACTATGCAGCCCCAGATTGGTTCTCGTGGAATCATATTCCCCATTGGGACACCCTTCAGCTCTCCCTGCAACGGCTATGTAGCCACCTCCATTGGTGAGCCAAACGGCTCAGGTTGGGTTCACCAGAACCCATTCCTGTAACAACTGGAGCTGTTGAATGTTTGCACAATGGGGGGGGGCATACTTCTATGTTTGGGGCTGACTGGGGGTAAGCTCTTTTGAGGAAGGTTGAGAGCTTGGTTCTGAATTCATGGTTGTTTACAGAGCTGTGTTTGGCATCAAGGGGGTAGACTAGTATTGTGCTGGCTGTGGATTGCCAGTCATGGAGATGGTCTTCATGGAGGTTAGCCAGGATGCAGGCAGGGCAGGCTCCATGAGCACGGAAGTTGGCCAGCTCTTGGGTAAGGTCAATGTAGTCATATGAAACATTACTGTCAGGGGGGCATTGGGCAGTGCTTGTAATCTGCAGTCCTGCATCCACAGTAGCCAGGGGGCAAGTGATGTGGGGGATTGTTGGGGGCTTATCTGGGCCACTCACCAGTGGATTTGCTTGCTGGGCTTGGTCATGGTGGCTACCCTTGGGGTGGAGCCCATTGGGGGGGGGGTCATTGTTGAGGGCCTGTGGCAAATGGTGCAGAGTAGGTGGGGGTGGGGGTGTGAACAGCCCCCGGATGTTGGTGGAGTCCAGGGATCTGATGTGTTTCAGGGCTCCCAGCCCGGGTGTGGTGGCGGTACTTGGTGCATGCTTTGGGATCTGGTAGGAGTGTTGGGGGCATTGTTGCCACCTTTTTTGTGAGTGATTGTGGGTGGGGTCCCTCCAGCAGGGGAGCTCTCAACCATGGCTGTGTCTTCATCCCTGAGGATGGGGTTGATTGGGGTTGTTGGTCTGGCTGGTGTGTTGGATTGCATGTGTTTTGGCAGTGTATGGGGGAACCACTATGGTAAGGTAGTGTGATGTTTGGTATTGTCAATAGGAGTCTGGTAAGGGTTACACACCATTAGCAGGGTGCTTCCTTGGCTATTCAGCCTTGTGGGACAAGTGGTACTGTGTTATGGTATGTCATAGTTACCCAGGGTACCATGGATTACATCCATTTTATGGAAGATCCACCCCCAACTCCTAGTCCCACCAGATCTCTGCCAGGGGCTTTGTAGGGGCCTTGGGAGGTTCCCCCATCATAGCTTTGGGGTTTTGCGGCTGTCATTGACAATGCCGGCTGTCTTCCTATTTAGGAAGGTAGTGGTTCCCCATGATGTGGAGTTTCTAGGATGGTTTTTTGGACTTTGATGCTGGGTTTGGATGCTTGACCTTTGGGATGCTGGGACTGGGTGCTTGATGCTGGATGCTGGAGGCTAGGACACTGTTGGCACTTTGTACAATGGATCTGACTGCACTGCCATATACCATGGAGGTCTCTCAAGCAGAAGTGCTGACAGTGTTGGCACTCTGTACACTGGGTCTGGTTGCACTGCCACACACTATGGAGGGCATAGTCCATTTTGGGATAAGTTTTGAGTGAATGTGGAGGGGCAAGTGAAGGGATCTAAGAATACAAGGATAATAAAGGAGGTTGTGGCAAATAAGATCAGTTGTAACAGGGTGTGACCAGAATTTTGATCACATATCTGTCTCCATCACAATTTTTCATCCATACTTACACTTCAAAACATCAGCCTCCCTATGGATCAGATCCTACAGGTACAAAATTTTCTCCATTGACACGCAGCTCTCATTTTGATATAGGCTAGTGGGAGTAACTCAAGTTGCAGGTTCAGCATAACTCCATCTTCTGTGTAAGATCCTGATGAGTTTTGTGTGTAGAAGCAAGCCAGGGTGAGCAAAACCTTTTTATGATGAACAGGTTGAGTGCATCTAGCCATTAACATTCCCAAACATATCTCTGGTAAGGCATATACAGGACAGCTCTGATGGTGTTTAGCCAGATGTGTGAAGATGTGTGTATTACTCCTTACTTGCTTTTACTCTGAATCTCACCCCAACCCACAATTGGGCTGAACTGCTCATAGATGGCAGAACTCCATTGGACCCATGGACATCCTGCCACTTCATGGCAGACCCATTTCAAGAAGCACTTTACACTAGAGTAGATAGGCTGGCAGATCTGGAGAGAAAGGGGAAGGAAAAGGCTCCTGATATTACCATGGAGGCAATAATCCTGAACAGAAAGCATGCCAATTCAGTTCAACCCAACTCTCTCCACAACATTTTCCCCAATCTGTCAAGCAGAGGAAGCCAAATGGGAATGGTGTTGGCTCATCCTCCAAGGGAAATGCCCCTTGAGCAGCAAGATGAAGACATGGATGCAGATTGGACAGCTGCCATGAGTCACCCACAGTACATTTTATAATTTATTTGTGCAAATCCCCATGTCCTCATATCCACCTTTCATAGACCTAACCCTTTGGTAATGCTCCCCAAAATGGAGGGCTTTTGTTATGGAAATGGGAATTTCCCATTTTAGACTCTTATGGGTTCTGTATCATGTGATATGGAGAGTAATTAAGTGAAACCAATCAATTACAACCAAAAACCTGCTGTGCTAACATCTGTTAAACCTCATGTTACAACATCTGTGAAACCACCTGTAAACCCTTATGTCCAACCCCCTTCCCTATTCCTGTGTCAGAGACCTGGTCGAGATGAAGGAGTGTCTCCATGGTGGAGGGCTTCGGCCTCAGTGACTTGTGCCAGGAGCGCTGTGCCAAGTAACACGTCCATGCCCTAACTTACTAAACTGGCAACCAGAACTGAAGGGGGTAAACTCTAGTCGATTTTATTACTGAAGTGTAACCTATGTACAAGTTGAGTATATATAGTTACAGCGAGGGCGGGTCCGCAAATGGCGGAGCCAAGCCAAGCGGAGCTAACGGGGTTAGACATTAGCTGATTGAATATTACCGACGAGTCAGGTTATGGGGTTAATGGAAAGGCAGGCGATAACCCAGAAATGGAAAGGAGGGATAGGCCTGAAGGTGGGCTTTGCAGGGCAAGCAAGTGTATTGTCCAGCGGAGGCAGGAGTGCGCTAGTGGACGTCGGAGCTGTCCGGAAGCCTTCAGGGCTCCATACTTAGGGAGGCGTAGGTAATAAATTGAAAGGAGGGGGTGATGACCATCGAGGGGTACCAAGGGGATTGCGGAATACAGGAGCTCCGAGGTTAGTGAAGAAGGAGCGGAAGTAGACCGGAGGGATCGGAGGGATCAGAAGTTGATGGCCGGGGATGGATATGACATCCTGTGCCAGAACAGACGAAAATGGGTGCCTCTGGCCCCATTTTTGTAACAGCTTTGGCCTCAGCAACTTATCCCAGGAGCGCTGTGCCTAGTAACACATCCATGCCCTAATTTACTGACTGGAAAGGAATTCTAGAAGGGGGAAAACTCTAGTCAATTTTATCACTAAGGTGCAACCTATCTACAAGTTATGTATATATAGGGCAGGCCCATGAATGGTGGGACCGAGTGGAGTGGAGCTAACAGAGTTATAGGTTAGCCAACTGAATATTACTGACAAGTTGGGTTACAGGGTTAGTGGAGTGATGGGCTATAACCCAGGAACAGAAAGGAGGGATCGGCCCAAAGGTAGACTTGCAGGGCAGGCAACTGGATTGCCCAGCAGAGGCAGGGGTGTGCTAGTGGACATCGGAGCTGTCCAGAGGCCTTTGGGGCTCCATACTTAGGGAGGCATAGGTAATATATTGAATTGAGGGGGTGATGACCATTGGGGGTGTTGGAGGGGATTGCGGAATATGGAGGCTCTGAGGTTAGTGATGAAGGAGTGAAGGTAATCCAGAAGGACCGGAGGTGGTGGAGGGTGATGGCTGTGGATGGATATGACAACACCCCTGCACTCCTGACTCGCTTCTATCTGACATTTCGCCCTCTCATGGCACCTCTGGCTTACAATCAAGCTCTCTAAGTCATTCTCACATGCTTAATGCATTTTTAACATCAATCCATGCACTTTTCTGGGGGACACACATGAAATTCATGCACATGCTGTAGGAGAAATAACAGTCACCCTATGAAAACTCATTATGGAAATATGCCAGAAAAATCACAAAACCCCCATATGACAAGTAGAAATGAGAGGATAGAAGAACCCGAATTTTCACAAATTTTCACAAATTTTTATGACTACATATGACAAATATGAAGATGGAAAATTAATAGAAATACTTCAAGCTTAGCATAAACAAGACAGAATGCTTGGGAGAATTTATAGCGAATATCAAACTAGGAACGAGGTCAATCGGGTCAGATTTGACTATAAAACCAACCAGAAAACCTCCACAGAAACTGCTTTCTGTCATATCCATCCCCGGCCATCGACTTCTGGTCCCTCCGATCCCTCCGTTCCAACTCCACTCCTCCCTCACTAACCTCGGAGCCCCCATTATTCCGCAATCCTCTCGGTACCCCTCGATGGTCACCACCCCCTCATTTCAATTTATTACCTACACCTCCCTAAGTACGGAGCCCCGAAGACTTCCGGACAGCTCCGACGTCCGCTAGCGCACCCCCACCTCCACTGGGCAATACAATCGCCTGCCCTGCAGAGCCCACCTTCAGGCTTATCCCTCCTTTCCGTTTCTGGGTTATCGCCTGCCTTTCCGCTAACCCCGCAAACCGACTTGTCGGTAATATTCAGTCGGCTAATGGTTAAACCCCATTAGCTCCGCTCCGTTCGGCTCCGCCAATTGTGGAACCGTCTCTGCTGTAACCATATATATATCCCACTTGTACATAGGTTACGCCCCAGTAGAAAAATCAACTAGAGTTACCCCCCTAGGTTCTAATTGCCAGTCAGTAAGTTAGGGCACAGACATGTCACTAGGCACAGCGCTCTTGGCAGAAGTCGCTGAGGCCGAAGCCCTCCATTACGGAGACATTCCTTCGTCTCAACCCTGGTCTCTGACACTTTCCCACACCCACATGCATAGCTGAGGCCGGAAGTACCACAGAACAAGGATTCCATAGGAACCAATGCAAAACTCAATGTTGTGTTTATAATAGGAGTGTAGATTCCTTTTAGATAGACTCAATGAATGTAATTTCAGGAAAAACTACCAATAGATGACAGAGAAATAGCCAAAATTTGCAGGAAACAAGGACAATGTTCAAAAGATAAGCAGGAAGAACAACCAATAGCGACCAAGACGAGTTTGATAGCTCATTGAAAGGAAGGGAACTATTCTTAATTGTTGTTTAATGTTTTCATTTCACAAGACTAATCACAGGGCAACAATCGAACTCGGCCCAGCCAATGCTATGACTTCCCCTGGCCCGATCACCCTGATGCGCCTGTCTCAGCACCGCACTTGCCCCTTTTCCGCTTTCACGAGTTGCTGTGCAACCTGACCATTTGATGGACCCAGGGACCGTGCATCAGTTGTACGCTGGGTTTTCTGGTGTGGATGCACGAAGCGGACCACACCAGCAGAGGTACGTACTGAACTCCACTCATCATGAGAGTGCTCATGACGATTCAGGCCGTGCTTATAAAAAGGGCTTTCACAGCGCCCCCTTTTTCCTTCCTTATCGCCTGAATCTCTTGCGACTCTCATGGTGAGTACAAGGCCAACTTGCTGCTGTTCTTTCGAACTCACTCTCATGATTTTGCCGCTGCTGCCACTGCCGCCTCCCTGTTTCCCCTGCTGCGTTTCCCCCCTCGACTCGTGCATATCCGCTGCTGCAGTCTCACACTAGTCTTCGCCTCTCCCACCCCCTCCCCTTTCACCACCAATTACTTCGTTTCCGATCTTGCGTGTATCTGTTTCCATATCTTCTAGTTTCTAACTGTTCCGGAATTTGCATGTATTACTATTATCCGTTTGCATGTGTTACTATTATCTGTTGTTCTACTTTCTTGTGTTTTTCTGTTGTTTTGTCTGGAAGTTCTTTGTACTTGTAGGTAGCCAGATCACACGTGTCTTGTGCCGCTTGCTTGCTGCCAATACACTCTGGGCCTCCTGGGCCATCTCCCGCTGCGACCTCAGTCAACCCTGATTAGTCCACACAAATTTTCATAGTAAGAGGTTCACACATCATGGAGATATTCATCAACGGGTTCAGCAACATTAAAGTCATAGCTCAGGGAAAAGTCAATGTTCACGCAAAATCCATATTTAAAAGACATAACGAAATTTACATGAAAAATATGATAAATCAGACACTACCACTATGCAAAATCTCAGGCCAAACGGCCCAGTCGTTGTGAAGTTATGCCAGTGACAGGAATAGAGTATTCTGCACTATGTCAAAGGACATGTGAGGGTGGCAATGTGAAGGGAACCGGCCATCGAAACCGAGATCTGCACTTCGGCAGATCACAAAGACCAATTTCCATCCAAATATGGTCAAAACAAAGAAAGCGAAAACACCTTAGATCATGAGGGAAAAATCTGAAATAAATCATGGAAGCCCATATTAAGGATACAAACACCCACACATACAATAAATCCCGAATAATTAAACAGAAACGTCGCCTGCATACAAACAAGTGCAAAAAACAACACACATGATTACCGATTGTGCACATGAACTTTTGCTAACTTGACAAATACCGAGAGTTAGAGTACGATTCTAGTACCGTTAGAAAGGTTGGATTAATGAAAATTTATGACGCTGAGAACGTGAAAAACCATTCATAAATGAGTGAGATATAAGGACATGAAGTTGGTAACCTGAAGACACTTGGGTGTCAGGGGATGGCCAGGTATCCGGCCCCCCTTTACTCTAAGCGATATCAATGATGTAACTGTTAGCTGAGATTGCGTGAGATATTTACATAGTTAGAATGCAGGTACTATTCATTGCACTATTATCGCTATCATGTCACCCCTTACCTGTTATCACCCTTCCACCTGCATCATCTATCTTCCTATCTGATGTCATACTTCTATCAGTTACCATGTAGTCCCAATGTAGCCGTGCTCTCATGGGTTAGTGGAGCTCATGTATATAAGGCTCTTATGCCAGCTAGGCTAGCTCCCTAGCTTTGATATCAACTAGTTTCCTGGGGATATCATTACACTGCAAATAGATGCACAGACTCTGACATTGGGAAGACAACCTCTAGAGGTCCCAAGCCCCAAATAAAATTCATAAAAATATGCTATCATTGAGGACGACTTATTATAACAACAAACACTACATACAAAGGACTAGGGTGCAATAATATGAATGGGAACCAGGGGAAATGGACAAAAAACTATGAAAAACCACAAAACTATGACAAACCATGGTGGGAATTTTAGGGAAAAATATACTAATAAAGCAGAGAGCTCTTACACATTCGTTTGTTCAATTCTTAACTATGACCAAGTATTTTGTTCTAAATTTGAACCATTTCACTTGTTTATCATTTCAAATCTCATTTCAACTAAATGTCACTGGATAAAAATTGAATAAATCAGCTGAAAGTCATAGCGCAGCTGTACATGCAGTAACATGTAGTCAGAA